GAAGTAGAAAGTACAGGTTATTGTGTTAAAAATGTAAGAAGTAGAAAGTACAGGTATTTCTTTCAACATGTAAGAAGTAGAAAGTACAGGTATTTGTGTTCAACATGTAAGAAGTAGAAAGTACAGGTATTTGTGTTCAAAATGTAAGAAGTAGAAAGTACAGGTATTTGGGTTCAAAATGTAAGAAGTAAAAGTAAAAAGTCGTCAGAAAAATAAGTAGTGGAGTAAAGTACTGATACCAGAAAAATGTACTTAAGTATAGTAATGAAGTATTTGTACTCCACTACTTCCCACCTCAGCTAATTAGTCAATAAATCTAAACTTCTTTCATGTCTTTTCCAATTCAATGTACTGATGCTATCTTTCTTTGTGTTTGCAGCCTGCTAAACTGACTGAGGCTTTCAAATACTTCATCCAAGGAATGGGCTACAGTAAGTGCACTTAATTGAGTCAAACTTGTAAAAAGTAGAATAACCACATATTTTGCCTTTGACGTTGCCTAGTGTTTCCATGCATTTCTAATATTTAAAGATATTTCATTCTATCCATCTGTTTTTCTCCACAGTGGCTTCATCTTGCATGACCCGTCTGTCTCGCTCCCGCACCACCTCCCTGTCCTCCTCCTACTCCATGGATGGGTCGCGCTCTCGCTCCCGCACCCTCTCTCAGGGATCTCAGGGCGGACAGATGCCGCCCAGCTCCTCCCAAACCATGGAGGTGTCTTGCTGAAGGAAAACATAATAATAGCTAAAGAGATAGAGGGTGAGAAAGAAAGAGGGCAAACAGAAGGGAAAGAACGAAATGCAACGATAATGAAGGAACAAGACGAATGGGTTACCTATTTGTCATTTAACAACTCCCGTCATTCCCCATAAGAGCAGTATAGGATAAGAGATGGAGAACCGTCCGCATCAGTCCTCCTCCTCTCTGCTGAAATCAAAGTGGATTGGGCTGTTCTACAACGAATATAAAAAGTATAGAGATTAATAAAAAGGGTGGAGGTGAGGAGATAATGGCCACCAGTCCTGTCTCCCTCCCTCTTTTGACGCCAATACAGCCCTTTAATTTAGAGGAGGCCTATAGGGAACACACCTTGCAGTAACCAATAGTAATAATTCAGAAATGGTATTGTTGTTCACCCTGATGATTATGGTGTTGATGAGGATGTTGAAGCTATTGATGGTGATGTTCAGTTTAAAAAAACATAGGTTAAAAAAAAAGAAAATAGAAAATAGCAAAGATACTTATAACAATGTGTGTCTACTACTTTTTAAGCTAGATTTTACCGTGTTATTTTTATTTCTTGAATCTGATTTTATTATGTCATTTGTAACCTCCCTCAGCAAATGGCCGAAGCTACTTATTGGTTGACCCGTCAGCCAATGAGAGCCATTATACTGACTACTTCCTCCTTGATGTAGCCAGGTTGTTTATGTCTTCCATTTGCCCCGTCTATAAATGACTGTTTTTGTTTTTCCCATTGGATTTGAGGAAGTGGGCAGGAAGCTTTATTTTTTTTTTTTGCTTTTCTTTCTGGACTTGGAAGTTGCATGCCTGGTATCAGCCGAGAATATTGACTGGATACTATTTTTCTTTTTATATTCTGCTAATGAGTTGAGTGGATTTGTTTGTGTGTGTGTGTGTGTGTGCTGTTTTGTTTCCTTGGAGTGTTTCGCAAACATGGCGGTCTATAAGTAAGCATAGGTGAGACTGAGTTAGCTTTAGCTATCGTTAACACTAGTCACTCACTAATTAGTGCTTCCAATATTCCTGGTAGTCCAGCATTTTGTCCCAATACCCATGCTGGTGTACTACTCAACAGGAAGCATTACATCGCTAAGTAGTATGCTAGTATGGATATTGCTTCTCAGTGTTTGGTTAACCCAGAAGGGATCACTGTGTTTATCATCTGGGTTGTAGTCTTTTAGCCTTGCCCGTGCATGGATACCTCCTAACAAACCCAGCTAGCATACTTGATTTTGAGTGCGATGGGAAGCATAATGAACACAAGCTTCTCAACTAGCGACTTTATCCAAAACGGGGTCAAGAGAATTGTGTTGTGAATGTTGCGATGTGTATGTGTCCGAGGAAGTAAATGTCGGTGTGTAGAAGCGCTTGTATCCTGTAAGCACAATTATTGCAGTAAAGACATCCAGGGTCCTATGGAGAAGTTTAATTTTGAATCCAACCAAACCCTCTGTGACTGACTTCTCAATGACAATGTTCCAGCCCCTTCACTGCCAACAGACTTGAAAAAAAAAAAAAAAATGTTGCCAACATCAGTCGAAAAATATTGAGCCTTTTCTTGTCATACATAGAAAATAACCGCCAATTTCTGCACTTCAATACAACAAATCGGGAATTGCAGCCAATAAGCTTTCTTACTGCCAAATCTAATGTCACCCAAATACAGGGGTCATGATTTCGCCATCAGAGATTTCTGTGAGCATTTAAAATGTCCCACTTAATCGAAATTTCAAAAGCTTACCACTGCCCTGCAACATGTCATTAGACTGAGCATACTTTTTGAAGTCCCAGTATTTGGTCCAAGTAAGATTTTTTTTCGGCGCACAAGTGCATTTCTGAGCTTGGCCCCTATTTGCATGCTTTCTTGTACTGATGAAGCGCTTTTCTGAAGAAGCTACATTTTTATGAAGGGTTGCCGGTTTCTGCCACATGCTATCTAGTGGTCCGTTCCCAAACTGTTTGACGAAGTAAAGATGGATGACGACAGTGACAGGAAAAGACAGCTGAGTGCCTAAAATCAAAATGTGACGTCAACCCAGGATGCCGCCATGTTTTAGGCACTTTTGTTGCTGTTGAGTGCAGAAGAGTAGAATGTAAATGCTCCTACCAGACTTAAAATAAAGCTCAAGCAATCTGGCATGGGAGCATCTACCAAAAAAAACTATTGGAGCTTAGACAGAAATTGCCAAATAAGGAAAAGAAGTGGTACTTATTTTTGGAGAGTTGAGCAGGGCTGTGTGATTGTAAATGCTTGTCCATTTTGTCTTTTAATTTTTACTTTGTTAATTTTTTCTTCCTCCCTCTATGTTTTAGGACTTATGTTTATAGTTTTATCTCTTTGAAGTGTTAGTTTACCGTCCTGGTGTGCTCACAAGTTAGTTAACCGTGTGATAGTTCTTGTGTAACTTTTTTAGCCTTAGTACTGATAAGGGAGATTAATAGAATTAACAATAAAAAAAAATAAAGGTAAGAAAATACAATCAATTTTACTTGTGCGGCTTATTTCTCTGTGTAACACAATGAACCTACTAAAAAAAGCAAACGTAAATATTAATAAATGCTTAAAATAAATATCCTGTCTCCTGTCTTGCATTTTCAAGAGAAAGCATTACTTATATTGTATACATTTCCCCATTGTGTTGCTATATTTCAACAAAGCATTTTTCTTGTCAAGTAGAGGAAGAAAAAGCCCTGATTTAAATTTACAGACATTTACTGTATGGCTTCTGGCCATTGGGGGCAGCACTGAGCACAATTATTCTGAACAGCAGTCAAAAAGCAAGAAGGAAAAAATGTGCCATCTTGGATTTTACGAATACCACGTGGAAAGCCCTCTGAAGTAAATAGCCTATCTATTATTACTCCTAAAAGGTTTGTATGTGTTTGTTTCATCTCCTATGCCATTGGTCACAATGCAAGAACTTAAATATTTTAACAGGTGGGTTCACTTGGTGTTAAGTGTAAGTATTAATATGTCTGCATGTAACTGCACTATAACTGTTCCACAGTAAGAGGGCACTATAGGAGGCGCAGCTATTGTAGCTGACGTCAGGTATCAGATATAAGGGATTGTTCCTCTCCTTCTATCTCTCTCTCTCTAGCTCTCATGGAGAGCAGGTCAAGTGGTGCAATGCACATATGAAAATAAACCACGCCGGTTAAGGCTAAAGAAGACCTCGTCGTCATGACCAGTTTATTGCTATACATGTGACTCTGTCAACACTTGGTATTAAAACAAGACCTTGATAGGGCTAGCAATTTAGCCTTGTTATGCTACACGATTATACACACTTTAATTTAGCTTCTTCTGTAAATTCGTCAGATAAAGTAAAAACATTTGATTATTTTCAAAAATATATTATTTAAAGGGGACCTATCATACAAAATGCACTTTTTGATTTCTTTTATACATAAATATGTATATGTAAAAAATAAACTCACGCAGCGTCAGAAAATAAAACCCTCTCTCTTCTCCTCCGTACCCAAATCTCTAAAAACGGGGGTACAACCGAGCTGATCCAGATTTGAGTCCGATATGACGTAATGTCGGAAATGTAGGCTGGCTTTACACCCACGGCCCTATCAGAGACGTTGCTATCAGAAACAATGCCAGACGGTTTTGGACGTAATATGGTCGGTGTTTACATTAGCATCGCTAACACTCAGAGCTAACCTGTACTGGAGAGCATGTGTGTGAAGAAGCAGGAAATAAAAAGGAACTCACCTTGTGGTATAACCGGCAAGAGAGAAAGCCTTTGAGCTCCATACTGTTTCAGAGATAATCCTTGATAATCCATGATATGGTTTACTTTAGACAGTAGCTGCCGGGTCCCGCATGAGCTCAGCCCCCTCCTTTCTTTCATCAATTCTTTTTTTTTTTAAGCTTTATACATAAAATCAGCACTTTTGAAACAGGAAGTGAAATAGAGGGATATGAGGCATGACTAGAATGGGTGATCTGTTATTTTGAGCAAAACACTTCATAGTCATGTTTTTTATATTTTTTTATATATCTGAGACCATGCTATTACCTAAAAATAGCATGATAGGTGACCTTTAAATATAATCCCAGCCTTTTCCCCCTAAAATGGAATTTATATAAAAACTTTTAATTCCACCTGTGTTTATGTTTTAACTTCTCTAAATCAAATAACTGTTTATCAATCTTATATTTACCTTCACTAAATTGGCCTTTTTACTGGCCTAGAGTCAATATCATGGCAAATGTATTTTAATATCAATACATCTCACAACATGCTATGTTATTGTGCATAACAAATGACTGCCTAAAGCACTCCAATGCAGGGAAAGTTCAGTACCAAATTGAACCACACAATGGCAGTATTGAAATGATTATGTTTAGTCCATGTTCAAAGCCTACTGTAAACTGCAATGTCGATATGAAGAGTTTCCTTACCACACAAACACATGTCTAAGTCATTAAAGTTGCTTTTTACAATGTGACTATGATTGGCCTACTTATGTAAATACAGTGTAGTAATATGTATTACAAATGATGAGTCAATAACCAACAGGTTTCAAATGGTAGCTTGATTTTTATTAAACAGAATCAAAATGCCTTTAAATTGTAATGCAAATAAGTTTCATTGTATAGCTCTCCAAAAATATAAACCTTGAATACAATCTTTATTACTTTAGTGAACAATACAATTATACTAACAACATGGTAAATACTCATGTTACTGTTTTTAAGTCTTTAAAGAAGTAAAATATTGCTGTGTGTAGTATCATCATCACCACATATATTTGAATGATCATAAACAAAGGATCAAGTATGTATTTTGTAAATATAAATTAAAAAAGCAAAATAATAAAACCCTTCAAATTCACAAAATATATATAAA